ATTTTTTGATCAAATAAATGCAGCCTTGGTGAGCATAAGAGACTACTTCCAAAAACATTAAAAAGTGCCAACTCAAAACTTTTGAACAGTGGTGTATATTGTCATTTATCACTTTATAATAAATTGGAAAATGTGGAAAAGTAAAAAGTAAACACTTGTCAGTCTCACTTAGAGCAACAGGGCAAATTTTACAGTAAATGATCAATTTTAAGATATTTATAGAAATGAATGACACATCATTTGGACCACAGGCCCTCATGCCATCTTGTCAAACAGGTAACATTACAGTGTCAGTTCTGGGTAAAAATATACCCAGCTCCCAACTAAAGACATGAGCGCCCTTTTCAATCACTTGTCCAGAGGCTTCTGTAATTACATCCAAATGGAGCATATACGAAAAACAAGGAATCCAAAACTTTAAGGAGGGAAAATATTTGGAGTGTGAAAATTTGATAGTGACAGATGTGCAGTCTGAGAATGTGACAGCACGCTGGAGCTCTGTCAGGGTCTGTTCCAGCTGCTGTCTCGTCAGCACACTTCAGCCCTTAACCAGAGTTCTGCAGGGCTTTACAGTTTTAGCTTGTCTAACATTGATAATAATAAGAAATGTTTCTTTAGCACTAAATCAGAATATATACGTGATTTCTGAAGGATCGTGTGACACTGAGGACTGAAGTAATGGTGGAAATGCAGTGTTGCAATCAAATAAGTAATTTACACTTTCAAATATATTACTTAAAATTGTAATAATATTTCACAAGATTACTGTTTTTACAGTATTTTTTGATCAAATAAATGCAGCCTTGGTGAGCATAAGAGACTACTTCCAAAAACATTAAAAAGTGCCAACTCAAAACTTTTGAACAGTGGTGTATATTGTCATTTATCACTTTATAATAAATTGGAAAATGTGGAAAAGTAAAAAGTAAACGCTTGTCAGTCTCACTTAGAGCAACAGGGCAAATTTTACAGTAAATGATCAATTTTAAGATATTTATAGAAATGAATGACACATCATTTGGACCACAGGCCCTCATGCCATCTTGTCAAACAGGTAACATTACAGTGTCAGTTCTGGGTAAAAATATACCCAGCTCCCAACTAAAGACATGAGCGCCCTTTTCAATCACTTGTTCAGAGGCTTCTTTAATTACATCCAAATGGAGCATATACAAAAAACAAGGAATCCAAAACTTTAAGGAGGGAAAATATTTGGAGTGTGAAAATCTGATAGTGACAGATGTGCAGTCTGAGAATGTGACAGCACGCTGGAGCTCTGTCAGGGTCTGTTCCAGCTGCTGTCTCGTCAGCACACTTCAGCCCTTAACCAGAGTTCTGCAGGGCTTTACAGTTTTAGCTTGTCTGTCCGTCCGTCACACTGTCTGAGCCTCAAGCCACTTTGGGACAGAGTTTCATACATGTCCAAACACACACGCTTTCATTTCCTCACCTTCAGATATTTTTTTCACACCGACATATAAATGGAAGTTTCTAGACCCGTGAACTAATACCGTCACCTCTGTTTTACACCCTGAGGTCATCCCTCTGCCAGCCCTGCTCAACATATCACTCTGAGCCCAACTTAAGACCCTGTCAAAGTTAGAACAGCCACTTGAACGATCAAATTCCCCTGCAACCTACAGTTCATTGCACAATCCCATCTGGTTTGACCCCAGCAGCTGCCGTCAGCTGCATTCTGGCCTCAGAGATGTGGAGAGACCATCTACATTCTGTCAAGTCACTAAGATTAGTGGAGATATTCAATCCTTGTGTCTCAATCTGCCATAAGCACCTAGAAAATCCAGACCAGACACTGAGGGATATCAGTTCATTTGTGTGGGAATGCCTAAGTCAGTTAGTCTGTTCTCGTGAGTCTGTTAAAATAACTTGTTAAATGTAACACGTTTTCAGCCACCAGACATTTTAGGTTCCACTCTAGTATAATGCTAACCACTAGTCTCTTTTTTACGGTTTGGAGCAAGACACGGTTCTATTGCCCTCAAATCAAAAATTGCATATAATGCAACCACAGTATAATGACACGTTTTCATAGTCCACAACATTTATTGGGGTTTTTTGATTTAGTAGATGAGCTGGGTTAATTTAGCCTTTGACCAACTGCAAACCCTGCTATCTGTATGTATTTATGTACATTTCTCATTTTAAAGGATAAAATGAAATATAATTGGCCTTTCTTCTTCTATTTTTCTCCTCAGATCTGCATTTTCATCGGAGAGACGCTGCTCTTTTTGAACTGGGCCATTACGGCGGACATTTTAATGGTTCGTATTGAAAGCCTGTATTTATCTGCTAATGAAGTTCTTAGCAATGCATATTACTAATCAAAAATTATGTTTTGATATATTTACGGTAGGAAATTTACAAAATATCTTCATGGAACATGATCTTTACTTAATATCCTAATGATTTTTGGCATAAAAGAAAAATCTATACTTTTGACCCATACAATGTATTTTTGGCTATTGCTACAAATATAACCCAGCGACTTAAGACTGGTTTTGTGGTCCAGGGTCACAAATAATATTTTAAAATGTAATTTATGCTTGTGGTGGCAAAGCTGAATTTCAAGCATTTTAATATGCTGATTTTTGTGTTTAAAAACATTCACTGTTATTATCATAATGTTGAAAATAGTTGTGCTGCAGACTAATACATTTTTTTTTCCATTTTCCACATTCCACATTCCATTTTCCTTGAGGATCCTTGATGAATAGAAAGTTCAAATGAACAGAATTTATTTGAAATATAAATCTTATATAAAATTATGAATGTCACTTTTGATTAGTTTAATATGCCTAATGCTTAAAAGTATTATTTCCTTTTAAAGCCCAAATGTTTAAACTTTTGAAGTTTATGCATTTTATCAAGTTCACTTTGTATTGCATAAAAGTTTCTGCTCTGGGAATCAATCCCATGATTTTGTATTGCTAGCACTTTACTAAACTGTTTGACTACTCTTTTCTCAAAGATCAGAGGTCAAGTTCACAAGTCGCAGTGTTAGCAACTTCCATCCGCTCAAAACGCCCTACCTGCTGACAGACAGCTGGACAGTGTGGTTATAATTCTGCCACGTTTTGTGATGTTTCATTTGTGGTCAGTTCGCATGACTCAGTTGCTTTCTGGGAATACAATGATCTTCTATTTTACCTCTAAGATAGTAGCTCGGTTATGTCTTCACAGGAAGTGTGTGGACATTCTGGCCTGTCAAATCCAGGAACGTGGGACCAAGTCATGCATAAACAGTTACTTGATAATTTCACTCTGGAGGTCTGGCAGGCTAGTGTGATGGTGGCTGTGACGTACTTCTGTCGCAGAAAATCTGCCAGCTCTGAATAACAAAAAGAAGAAGAGATTTTAGAGAAAAACCATAGGAACCTTGACACAGGGCAGAGACACTATAGTTTTTCCAGACATTAAGCTGTTATGAGAGCAGTGACATCCAATAGCTTACTGAAGACAACTGGAAAGAAATTTAAGAACATGTGGCAGGCAGACAACACGTTCTTCTAAAAACTGAACAATGTGTGCACTAGACCTGTGAATGAATAACATTTCCTAAATACCTGGTAATGCTCCATTTCACTCTAACTGATGTAAAAACATTCAGAGTACCTGTGTGAATCTATACCCTCAGGCATAGTGGGTGGTGTAATTATCTATAAAAATAGGCTATCAACCGAAATCTACGATCTTTTTTTTGCAAAAAACCTCATTAGACACGCACCAGAAATGTTCAACCTCAGCCCTATTTTTATCAGAAGAAATAGTTCATGTTTGGCATCATGAAGGCCAACATATACACACACATATCAGGAGTGTGGTCTGCGCACACACACAAACACACACACGTTTGCTTAGCTGTCTAAATAGGGGCATTCTGTAGACTTTTTTTTTTTAATATATACAGCTAGTTGCAGATACTATAACCTAACCCTTACACAAAACTTTCTGCATTATTACAATTAAAATAACCCTCTATTTACTTACCAGTTTTACAAACAAGGACATCCCCATAAGGAGGTTTTGTCAGATTTATCTCACTTCTGGGTAACTATTTGTCCCCAAAATATGGTTAAGTATGTACAACGAGACACAGACCTCACTGTCAGTATCTACTCACACACCTTTTAGAGTCAGCTGACCCGTGAGACTTGAGACACGCTAGTGCTGATAAAGGATTAGCCAAGTTAAAGTCAGTTAGATGGACACTGAGGAGATTATTAGCGCTTCTAAATGTCTTTTTCATGCTGCTTTTAGTGCCTTTGTCAAAATATACAACTTTTGCTTTATTTTCTAATAATATGCTACTTTAGAATAGCCAGAACAAAGCATTTTTGCATATTAGCACTGGAAACACCCTCTTGTTTTCTGTTCACAGGTCTGTTATAAATAGTGATGAATGAAATCAGGATTTGAGTTTTGTGGCCTTTAGTGTACTCCAAGTTGACAATGTATTTTTAGCAGATGTAGGCATTTAAAAATGATCTTCCAGGAAAATGGAACAAAAATACTGCTGACTCAGCCCGCACTACACTTTATTTTTGTACAATCAAATGCTCTTTAGAATGACAATATCCCCTGCTGATATCACATAGGAAATACCTCATGTGGTCTTTAACATTAACAACCAGTTGCTAACTACTGACTGAGTGAATCCTAAGGGAGCACACAGCATAAAATTAAATCAGTTTGTAAAATTGAAACTGAACTAAATGCCGCCTTGATTGAATCAATAGTTTAATTAACGTTTATTGTCTTTTTATAGATATATTGACTTGCTGTTCAACAGATACCAGTAGCTTAAGACAAGTTAGCATAATTAACCATTCACCCAGTAACTGATTAAAACAGCGCAGCTCTTGAAGACAATATTAGGAAGTTAATTATTACATTAATGTCACTGATGACTCGCAGCAGACTTTTCCTTTGTTTGCTAATGAGTGCTTTTGTTTCTGTTTCTATGTGTTCCTGCAGATATCAGACGCGCTGCAGGAGAGCTACACTACATCAGCGTTATGGCAGTTCCTGAGCTTGGGCTATGCCCTCATGCTCTGCCCCTTTGTCATCGTTTTGGGGGGGATGTTCTTCCTGGCCACCGCCCTTTTCTTTCTCGACGATCGTGACAAAGCGGAGAAACAGTGAGTGCCTAGGCCTTTACTCATAACCTTGATAGCGCTAATTTAGTCCAATCTTTTAAGTCATTATTCTGAAAACTTTCTAAAGGCATCGAGGTGCTTCCGTTTCAAGGGTTCCTTACTTTACATTCCTAAACGGGGTTATCATTTCCCATTTCCTCCACTGACAAAGACAATTCGGAGAATACCGGTTGCCATGGTGATGTTGGTAGCCTTGGCCATCTTTGTGTGCCTGGTGAATAGCCTCAGGTGGACAGTTAATCCGCGAGGATGAGCGAGATTGATAGACGGACAGAGATCGAGATGTATTCTCAAACAAAGACACTCTGCAGAAGTGATCTGCCTATTGGAAAATGGCACTTTACGTGGGTTACGGATGAGCTTTAGTAGATCAAGAGCTTTCCATATTCAAATCATTAATCAGTATAGGAGAGATTTCAAAATAAATGTAATTTCAGTAGACTAGCGAGACAAGCTAACTAAGCAATTTTATGAAAGTAGCATTTAGTAACAGTCATGACGACATGAGACAAAATAAACTTCAAATAAACCCCAATGTTGTCTCTTGCTATTCAAGCTACCCAGACATGTCATTTCATTTTAACATGGCATACATAAGCCATCGCAAGATACTTTGTCCTATATATGTATATTTAAACATAGACATTTTAAAACAGACCTTCATCTAAAACATATGCCGGTTTGGTTATGGAAAAGTCCCATTGCCTTAAAAGGTAAAGACAAACATGATACCCAAACTTTGCGACTCGCTTTCTGTTTTGCGGCCGTCTTTTATCAAGTGGATTTCCTGTGTGTGTTGCCACTCAAGAATGACTTCCTTCCTGTCTGCTTGGGGACATTTTTAGGCAGGGTGGTATGTTGGATTACTGCGGAAGATCTTCTCACGATAGGTCTTAGAGACAGCCCAGGAGGTTGACTTTTCTTCCCGTCTCGCCATCTATTACAACAGGCAGTTTAATCATCATAGTCATTTTTTACATGGAGCTACTCAGCAGAATTATTAAATTGTTCTTTTTCCTGCTATATATCATAAGTAGTGGAATACAAATAGTGCACCACAGATACAGATCTTAAATAAATCAATCCTAACATGAATAAATCTTGACAAAAAATACAGTGTCTAGGTTTAAAGTTGTTGTGTCAAACAGAATAATATATAACTGACTATTTTCAAGTAGGTTTCCCTGAACACTTCCCACTTCTACTATTGGTCAGATAAAGAGATAGCCCTCACACAATTGGTGGAGCCATTGTTGCTATGCCAAGCTGGTCAGATACTCATACGAACAGAGCAATGTTTTTAAAGAACCACAGTGCATTTTTCAGGGAAATAAACTTGTAGTTTTCTCTGTATATTAAAAAGGGATGAGAGAACATATTTTAACATTAACTTCACTTCAAATGTCAAATAAAATATAACAAAAAAAAAACTCATTTAAATTTAGAATAAATGAAAAATACTTCACTTTTAAATTTAGAATAAGATAAAAATAACCTTAAATTTAGAATAATTATGATAACAAATCCACCTTTCAGTTTAAAAAAAAGTTTAGTTTACTCCCACTGTTGGTTGTAGTTTATACAGAAGTTTTACCACACCACTGGTTTTATGCAGCCACTGAATTTCAGCTATATATGCTATGTAATGGCCTGCTATATCATGCATGCCAAAAGCAGCAGCTACAGATTAAAGCAGTTATATTTGTGAATGCAGCATACACTATACGCTTATATCCAGCTGTTATGAGCCTGTGCAATTATACATTTCCAACAAATACTCTTACATAACACCCTTCTCACAATTTTTCATAAGCATTGCATCATCACGAGTCATCATGCAGTCTAAAAATAGAATTTTATCCGTGCTGTTTCAGGCCCAGTAGTTCTTTATTCATAAATATCTTGTTACATGAATATAGCATTCTTTTTTGTCTTCCTCTATTTATGGACACAACATGCAAAACGAAAGGCGTTCACTGGAGCGGAGGAGTATATATTGAGCTTGAAGAGTACTTTATTTCTAGGCTTTAAGCTTTTTTGGGCCATGAGGGAGCTGTTTATAGCGCAGGGGAAAACACTGGGCACCCAGGCAGTCACACAAAAATACACACACGCACACATTTGTCTCATATCCTTTGCTGCCTGGCATCAGTTGGCATGGTGTCCATTGGGATGTACTGTAGATATAAGCATCCTGTGAACTGTGTGTTAAAGCACTAGCAGCCTGTGAAGTGTCACCATTGAGATTTCCAATAGAGTGACTGAAATTACAAGGCGGCAAGAGAGCATCTTATCATAGGGAAAAAAGGAAAGAAGTGAAAATGCTCATCAGCGAAGATGATGAGGAGAACTGAAGTACTTCTACAGAATTAGTGTTTCTCGCATTAAGAATCTGGATCCTCACCAACTTCTGTCACTACCCTGACCACCTGTGGTCACACTGAATCAAACCACTGCTGTACCTAATTTTACTCAGAGCTTTGCATCTAAATGGTTGTATTTCAATAATGCTGCTGTGAATTTGCTTTGTAAATTAAAGTTATCAAACTTTTGGACCCCAAAAGATGAAAAACTGGGTAATGTAATTTATTATTATTATTATTATTATATTATCTGGAGAATATTTACTTTGTATTAAGTTAACAGTTTATTTTACCCACTATTAAGAGTAATGTTATGTAAGCTGGAAAAAAGTTTATTTCGTACTGTTTAAAACCAGGGCTATAAAAATAATTGTGATTAATCTCTTGATTCCCAACCAGTTTAAAGCAGGCAAAATAAGATCAAATTTGGTAAATGTGTTAAAAATATCGTCTTAAACACATTAAATTAATATCTTTAATTTAATTAATATCTGCAACCCAGTTTGAAAACCCCTCCAATAAGAGATCCTGCTGATGTGTAGTGTACAATTATGAAAAGCATTGCATAAATACTATATCTACACTATTTTTTCCCTCATTGTTCTGTTTTTTTTTCTTCTTTTTTTTTTTCCTCCAGAGTAAACCAGCTTTCCCGGCCGCCATCCACAGTTAAGGTAAGACCTCAAATTCCTGCAAGTCTCCAACAAAGGCACCCGCACTTTTTCCCTTTACACTGTTATAATCTGTTATTCTGTTGACCTTTTAAAATAGAGAATACAATGGTTCAAGCTTATTTATGAGAAGGTATTCTGGACTGTAAGGGGAGAAATAATAACATACCACCTTTATGAAACTCCAGAGCTGCACACTTAACCTTTATTTACTCTATGTTTTACACATTGGAGTCCTTGCGCATCACAATACCATAGAATAGAATAGAATAGAATAGAATAGACTTTGGGCTCATGGTGGCATCACCTTTTCATTATAATAGATATTTTGAGTAGTTTTTTGGGTGAGCAGGTTATTTCATCAGCTGATAATCTCAAATCTGCCTCATCTTCAAGCCTCTGTTCCTGCCCCCTTCCCCTCTTTCTCTTATCAGACTCTCACACTCACTGTTATGAGCCTGTTTGTATAATTACCATGACTTTGTATGCCCCAAAAGAACGGCAAAGCATCAAAAGACAGAGAAAGAAAACATCTAACAACATCAGGAAATAGGCTTCCCTGGTTGCCAGTTTTTAGGTGGAGGACAATGTGTGTGGGAGCAGTACACTAAAAATAACTAGTCCCCTAAATATTCGGACTGAGAGGGCGGATTGTAACTGTTAAATGTGGTCATGTATTTTTGTTCTGCAGACAGGCTGTCCCAAGTTAGCTGTCCTACTCCTCTACAGCACCAGCCACTTTCTAATTAGCAAAACTACCGCTCTTTATTAGGTTAACAGCCTAAACTGACTGCAGTTGAACTAGAAATCAATGAAATATCTCCGGCTGGATGCAGCGTAAACCGTGGCCTTGAGGGTTAGCCTGTCAGAGGCATGTAAATTAGCATAAATGAGCGTGTGATGGCAAGACATATTGCCTCAGTCACTTATATAAATGGGAAAAGTTCTCTGATCAATAGGGGTCAAAGCACAAAGTGGAGAGGAAACCGCAGAGTTACATAACAGACAGACACCCACACACCCAATATTAGAAAATAAATTATGAGGAGGCCAGTGATGTGACAGTGGGAGCGGGAGTCCGAGAAAAATCACTATTGTGACATTAGCCTTGATTAGGGCCAACGATTTCAGACAGGAAGGGCTTGCAACCAAAGCAATGAGAAGATATTAGAGAGAATAAATGAGAGATGAAAAGGGAGAGCAATGGAGAAATAGACCACTGCCCTTGCAGATGGAGGACGTGCTAGTCACTAAAGAGATACATAGTGAGCGCTTAAATCTAATGGACAAAGAATGGCATGATGACAAAATGGAGAGTCTTCTCCATAAGAAGCTTGTCTTTCCTTTTAGAGAACATCTTCTAATTAAATGATACCACAACCAGATATGTCCTTCAGGTTTTCACCCTTTGGGCAGTTAAACATGATTGGATTTCCTAAATGCATATTCTGCTCAATATGAGCTGCAGAGTTATGTATGCTACCGTAAAAAAAAATTGGGGTTGGTAAGATTGATTGATTATTTATTTGAGACTCTTATGCTCATCAAGGCTACAAATATTTGATCAGAAATCTAGTAAAACTGTAATATTGTGAAATATTATTGCAATTTAAATGAACTATTTTCTATTTTAATATATTGTAAAATGTAATTTATTTATGTGATTAGCAGTTATTACTCCACTCGTAAGTGTCACATGTTCCTCCAGAAATAATATGCTGATTTGGTGTTTAAGAAATTTCTAGTTATTTTCAATGTTGAAAACATATAAACATGGGTTTGCCATGTTAGATTTTGGTTTAAATCAAAAGAGACGATCTCCTTGTGAGACCAAATACCACATTTTTCCTGATATACAAACAAAGTTTTACATTTCAATGTATAAACCCCATTTGTAAATAGTAAATGACATCATTTTGTAAAATACCTAAAATACATGTTTTTTAGTAAAAACATGAACTTGAAAAACCCTGATTTAAAAGACCAAATCCAGCATTAGTACATAATTACTGAACTTTGACAGTGTATGAGTGTGTGCTATCACACAATGAAGAAAACAATGGTTTGTTTAATAGTAAAAGAGCTTCTAGGCCAGATTATTTGTGGCATAATGATAAACAAATCCCAAACAAGACCCTGGATGCTCCGTAAACGTCACTGATGTGATTATCTAAGCATAATACCCTAGTATTTAACATTTGTAGTTACGTTGCATGAGCCAAATATCATCATACAGTACTTCTGTACTCTGCATTTCCTATCTGTACTACATTAAAATGAAACTGAATACAATTATTGTCAAGTTTGACAGACTTGTGATGTCAGTGGGGCAGCTGTGGGAAGCTTACAGAAGCTCTAGTTGCAGTGTGTGTGTAAAAATGGGGGTTGGTTTACCTCACCAGCAGCATCAGACAGATGGCTCAGTGGGTACGGAGTTATAATAATTAAAATGAAACATCCTGTTGGGAAGCCAGAGACTAGGATGTTATTGCTCCAAGTTTTATTCAACAACACAAACAGCCAGAGACTGACCTGTCTTTGACTTTTTCTTTTTGATTCCCTCAGGTTACCAAATGAGATGGGGCTGCTGCAATGGAGGGGGGGAAAAAACCCCAGAAGGAATAAAACTAGCAACTAACTCACTATACGCACACTCTCGGATCACCGCTATCATATCATCTCTGCTTTTTCGTTTCATCCTGTGAAGGCCGTTCTGAATTCGAGTCGCACCTTGCTTGCCCTAGGAAACCTTCAGCTGGCAAGAGGTCAGCCAATCAGCAGCTGGTGTGCAGCTATTAATGATGTATATAAAGAGCCACGTGGGCTCCAATGGGTGTTTGGAAGAGGGTGCACTAGAGCGCTCCGTGCCATACTACTGAACAAAGCACGGACACACGCTCCCGTCCTGTCACGCTGCCTGTCGATCTGCACCAAGTGCCATAGCATCACATTCCTAATGGGGACCAGTACCAATGATGCTCACAGCCAATAAGAGGCTCGCCAATACGCCAAAATCCTATAAATACAGAACTGAAGGAATCACTCACATCACATCAAATACCCAACAAAAACAAACTACACGGTGAGCCCTGCCTTAAGAAATCTGGCAGAGGCACAGGTCTGGTCCCTGGTCACTTTTCTTTCATAAAGATTCTTTTCTTTGCTTATTATTAAATGTATTTTTCCATTCTTTTTCTTAGCACTTACCATTTTAATGCAGTGCCAGTGAAATCATGCAGTCATGCATGACACCTGAGACCATTGAAATCGATCATTATCTTTTCTCTTCTTGCTCTCTGACTGGGTGTTTTTACAAATTAAACTGGAGGGACTTCATTAACTATAGCTGAAAGGGACACTGGATTGTAAATATTATCTTTTTATAATGAAGAAACAACATGTAAATGCTTTCATACTGAACTTTACTGAACAGTCTGCCAGGATGAATCCCGTAGTATGTCCAAGAGGAGAGCAGAAATACTAAAAAACGTTAACAAGTGAACAAAGCCAAGGTTATCGTCACTTGTTTAGTGTTTCCCAGCGAGGAATTCCTTCCGCAGTGCCGGGTTACCCACCCAGACAGGCAAACCTTCATTTTAACTGCGGATAAGATTCACAGGCTCAGTCTATAAGAATGAAAGTCTTTGTATGTTGGCTTACCTTGCTCATTTGGTTTTACATATCCCTTTACTGGAAAAGAAGAGACAGAAAGGATGATAGTGTATCGCAGCCAAGTTAATTACCTACACTGCAATCCATCCGTTTTCAAAAAGGGAATTTTAAGCTAAGTCTGGATTGTTTTTTTTGTGCATTCTGTGAATTTTGTGGAGGTTTTTTATGAGCAGAAAACAGATATTTGAATATGTTGCATACACTAAGAAAAGCACTTTGCTTTTCACTGAATAGTCATGGATGTGAAGAGACAAAGTTGGAGGGTAAAACTGCAGAAAATATCCTTTTTCGCTCTTATTGGCCTGTGTGGTTTCGCTTCAGATTAGTTTGTAATATATGCAATTTAAAATAAGATTTCATCATTAACAAACGTGAAAGCTTTGACAGTGGCAATAATTTGTATATCTTCATGTTTAGCAAGATTTTCTCAGAGCACACACACCAAATCTGTCTGCGTCTGAAGCCGTTCAAATGTAAATCTGGTCTCAAAGAGAAGGCTTTTTCTTCATCTTGAAAATAGCACCTTGCCTATAGATTGATGTGGAAAAAAGCCGATCTGTGTTTTGAAGGTCTGACTTAACGTATCATGTGAAATTACTGTCCCTATTTGCCAGTCATATCCTTTTAGCATTTTATCATGCCAGGTGAAAAGCCTTTGAATGTGATTCTGTCCAATCCAATGTGTTTGCCAATTTATCCTAATGAAGCTTTTGTATTATTATTATTATTATTTTACAGATGTCGTTTTCTTTCTTTTTACAAATATGAGTTTTATATATAAACACTATAAAGATAAACTATATTATGCAGCAATTTTAATATATTGTTAACTGCTTTGATGCAATGTATTTATTACGTTTTTGATTTGTTTATTTGCTACCCTTGCTGATAAGATGGAATAAGGGGAAAAATAATGTCATAGATATTATGTACAGTTCTGTTTTTGGTTTATTTTTGTTTAAAAAATGCCTCGTCACCATTTGAAGAATCTCTCAGTTGTTCATCTCAGAGAACTGTGTTTTCACAGGAGCCAATTATTTTACTGATTCACACACAGCATGATTTACACTTATACAAAAGTACATGTATTGTGTATCAACATGTTTCTTAGACCAATGAACTGATACTTTACCTGATTTATTTTGCACAAGCAACTGGGTGTGTGAATAATGTGCTGATCAGGTGGTTTTCTCTTACTGTCTAATTCTATAGTTCTACACTGGCCTTTTGTAAGTGCTAGCTTTGAGGGATTATTACCCATTCACTGCCTGGCTACTAGCTTTTCAAAGTTATTTTATATGCTGTCAATGATTATATGACTATCGTTTATTTGTTTGTTGAAAGGCAACACTCACGGTGATCTTGATCAGATGAACGACTGGCTTAATATTTGTAAGGCCAAGTTCATTTTATTGACAAAACGCTACTGCTAATGAGCAGTTTTATGAGATCATTTTAATTGCTGAATCGTGAGAGTTGAGTATTTCAGATTGCACATTTTCTTGTCATACAAGAATTCTGTAAAGATGAACCTATTTCTGATGTCAAGCAGAAATTAAAAGGTGATTTTATTTTTTAGAGCAAGTGTGATTATAAAGAAAAGTATCTAGGACGTTTACTGTGATGCTCCCACAGGGATATACACCTATATGTAACTGATCAAAATAAACGTATTTAATCAAAACAGCAATACAGTATCTTTATTTACATTATTACAAAAGTGCACTTGTCACTCTACAATAAGGTTATGCAGGTATCATGACCGTACAGAATTTATTAATCTGTTGATGTTATTATTTTTTTAAATATACCATAATTCATTGTTAATTCATGTAACGCACTGAGTAGCGCTTGGTTCACAATTACTAAGTTACTATGTGACCACAACTTTGGTACAGCGGTAACTACGTGGGATTGCTTGTCGACTCACTAGAGCAAAAGGTAAGCAAAAAGTATAATAGTATTACCTATTTCGAGGGTCAGTCAATTATTAACACAGTTCAAAAGAATAGTCAGTTACTGGAAAAATAGTATATTGTTTTGATTGATTATCCTTTCACTTGGATTACTGCCCTTTTAAAATTGCAGTTAGATCAAAAACAACCAAAACACAATTACAACAACAAATAAATTGAATAGTAAAACCCCAAAGTAACAAAAGGATATCAAAATTTTAAGGAAAAAACAAAAAGTTCAGATTCAGTTTCCAAATTCCAAATAAGTTTCTGGAATTAAATTTCAAATACTCAAAATCAATGTCCGTTTCAAAATGAGATTTTTAGATTCAAGATCAAATTCTCAATTTCAAGTTTCAGTTTTGAATTCAAAGTCTCAATGTCCAGTTAAGTTTCAGATGCAAAGTCAAAAGTCTCAATGTCCAGTTCAGTTTAAAAAAAAAAAAGTAAAAAAATATAGGAATGTTCATCAAAAAGGGGAAAAATTCAGTCCACGAAGAAAGGGAAAAAATTGTTTGATCCAGGGAAAATCCAGGCAGCAAAACTTGGAAAAACTCTAAACAAATATAGTTTGGTCCTACCAAATCGACAGATTTCACTCTTTTTCTCCGTTTCCAGGCACGAAATTATGGGATGGTTCGCCAGTCCAAACCGGAATACGAGTATTCAGCAAGGACAGGATTCAGGATCACAATTCTCAACAAAGACAAACATTTTTTTTAAAAACCCGGCCTTGCAAAAACAAAGCCAAAAACAATCATCAGTAACTTGTTCGAATAAACCATTTCAAATGACTAAAGCGTCTGCTTCAATTATTTGCATATACGCAACACATACATGCTAATCGTTATGTGCTCAATTACAACACTAGAGTCTATGCACAATGTTAGCAAAGCTAGCACCACATGAAACACATTTCACTTTGAGAAATTATCACATCTTCACAAATAAAACACCCTTCAACAACTTGAACATAATTATATACACTAACAGATCGTATTGAAGCAAAAATGAAGCATTTTCAACATTTTTACACATTCCTGGTTAACTTTACAATAGCCAATAACAGTATTCACATTTAGTTTCATTAAATACATTTCTTATAACGAAATTTGTACTCACCAAGGAGAAATGTATAAAAGAAAAAAAGAAATAAGTTAAAGATTCGTTCATTTTGCTGAACGAGACTCAAAGGTCCGAGTCGGTAAAATGATCCGAACTTCCCATCACTATCTCGTTCTGTCTGCTCCTGCGCTACCACCCAAAAGGGGCGGAGCTAACCTTTCACCTTACCAATTAAGAATCATTCAGGAACTTTTTTTTCCTTTTTACTTGTAGAGTGATCTTTCTGCATATTTTTGTTTCCTTTCTAAATATTATAACAATAATAATTAGATAAAATTTCAATTAAATATTAGTGACCTAGATTAATGATCTGGGTTACACTGTGGGACTCAACCTCGATGCAGGCACGTCTGTCTCCTGCTCGAATCGAGTCAATCCTCACGACAGTCACGAGAGTAAAAGAAGGCCAGTCAAAAAAAAAAACCCGGCCTTGCAAAAACAAAGCCAAAAACAATCATCAGTAACTTGTTCGAATAAACCATTTCAAATGACTAAAGCGTCTGCTTCAATTATTTGCATATACGCAACACATACATGCTAATCGTTATGTGCTCAATTACAACACTAGAGTCTATGCACAGTGTTAGCAAAGCTAGCACCACATGAAACACATTTCACTTTGAGAAATTATCACATCTTCACAAATAAAACACCCTTCAACAACTTGAACATAATTATATACACTAACAGATCGTATTGAAGCAAAAATAAAGCATTTTCAACACATTTTTACATTACTAACTCACATTCCTTGTTAACTTTAATCTCCAATAACAGTATTCACATTTAGTTTAATTAAATACATTTCTTATAACTAAATTTGTACTCACCAAGGAGAAATGTATCAGAAAAAAATAAATAAATTAAGTATTCCTCCAAAGAAATACTGATTAGACTCTGTTTCATCAGCTTCTTGTCGTGTCTCTTTCAATGCTGTTTCTTATCGTGTCTTTCTCAAAGCGTGAGCTTTTAAGAGTTAATATCTCACTATTCTGGGTCTTAATTTGTTAATAATCTATTATTTATTTATTATTTATTACATAAATAAAGAAACGAAGTTGCTTGTCAGATTTCCCTAACAAGCAAAAAAACACTGCTTTATCAGACATATCATGCAAGATTAAATGAAAATGACATCCAATTTTCTGAAGACAGTCGGTTTCCTTCAGAAATACAGTGATATAAAAACACCCGCACTCAATGTATGGGAAACACTGTAGTCTCATAATTGAAGTGTAAATTCTGCAGATTACATCATTGTCCAGTATTGTACTGTCAGCAATTATTTAAAATTACATTTTAAAATACATATTTTAAATGTGTTAAAATAGAAAAATGGTAATAAAATTTCACAGCACTACTGTTTTTACTGTATTTTTAATCAAATAAATGCAGCCTTGGATGAAGATCACTAAAAATATCACAAAATCTGTCCATTCTTGGAGGATCCTTCCATAATACTGATTCATAGAGTGATTAGAAGCAGGAATACCCAATCTGAGAGCTACACTTCTACAGCACATGAAAGGGCTCTAATGTCACAGAGACCCATTAGCACATACCTGGGGGGACAGAAAGTAGACTTTCTGCTCCACTGCCCTGGAGCAGGAAGCCCTCTCTCTTCCTCTCTTTCAGAGGTAGGAGGAGGGGAGGGGTGGGCAGAGCAAAAGGTTTAATTTTCATCGTCTAGTGTAAGAGTCAGCCCAGTTTTGGGGGACTGGATGAAGTCTAGCATTGTTTAGAGAGGCACACTGCACCTCTATTGCTCAGCAACTGTTTCTGTGACGCCAGAGAAGAAGAATGTAGATGGAGAAGGTCACCAGTGTGTTGACAAGACATGAAACACCTACATAACCAGTGACTGTTGCTGAAAATATGAGAAAATGTGCCTAGCAACAGCTGTCACATTCATCCATATTACAGATGAAAATACAATATTTGCTCATGGTGTGACCCGAACCGCATATGAAAGCAAATCGAGAAAGTTCACAAATATCTGCAACCGTAGCCACAGCTGAGTACAGAATTACCTCAGAACCTAAAAACTTCTGAAAAGCTCCTGTTGACACTAAGTCGCCAACAAAAACACACAAAGAACAGAAGACCCATAATGGCCAAATACAGTATCTCCAAAAAGTCAACCAATAATGATGAGGTGTTTCCCTTCAGTTAAACACAGAGCTGATGGCCTCAAATGCCCCAAAACTGCTTACTGTGGCTGCGTTCAATCAGAAGTATTGATCACAGGAGCTTTTCTAATCACAAGTGACCCTGTCTAACCTATGACAGGAAGGTCCTTATCTAGTTTAAAGGAAACATCTCAACATTTGACTAATTTACAAGCTAACCATTCGATTTTTGGCATTACACACTAAAGATGATCTGTCTTATTGACAACCATTTCAATATTTACATTTGTAAAATGCTAATTAAAAATATACAGAATCCTGAAATGAATGGAATATATGTTGGATGTCTACGAGTACAATCAAGTCAGAACAAACTGGCATTCGATGCATGACACCATGAGAAAACACTGTCAAAGTCAACAGAACAGTGGAGATCTGACAGGAAACTCTAGGGTGTAGACAGGATATAATGGTTCCTTATACTCAGCAGGAAAATCAATGTGGCTATTTCTTTTCCATGGGACTGTTAAAATATTCTGTGGGCCAAAGAAACAAAAAGTAAAAACAAGGGTAATTTTAGGGTCAATTTCAAGCTTAAGCAAATAGTTGTTGAGGCATGTGTCAATTTTTGTTTGGTTATTTTGACAAGTCACTCTTTTAAGCTATTTTGCTAGTTAGAGCATTGAATCCATATGTAGAAGCCTCAGAACAGACAATTTAGTTCAAGACCCTTGTTCTCTATTAAAACAGTGCTGAGAAAAGCATATGGAAAGGATAATTCTTCCAAAAACGACACTTCTGTCATCATTTACTCATGTCACTCGAAACATGTATGACTTTCTTTTGTGGATGACAAAAGGAGATATTTTTCAGTGTCTTTTGTACAATGAAAGAACACATGAGACAATATATATTTTGAAGAGCTGTTTTTCTGCTTTACTGTAAAAGACAAAACCACCCCATTGATTTTTATTGTATTCAGAAAAAACGGTATTCAAAATATATTCTTTTGTGTTCCAGAAGAAAGTAAGTCATACAGATATGGAAGGACATGAGGGTGAGTAAATGAATTTTATTTTCTGGGTGAACGATCCCTTTAATAACTTGCTTAGAGCAGAAACGACTCTGGAGGTCTTGAAAAGTTACATACAAAATAAATAATTTTCACTTAGTCTTAAATTTCAAGCAACAGCACATAACACACAGGCAATGTTTATGCTGACACAGATCATCCATTTGACACCTGAATGTAGCATCTAGTACAACATTTAATACCTACTGTAAATACAAAAACATGCAGTGAACGCCTAAAAACTAGTTTGTAAATAATTAGTATGAGGGTATGTAAGGTGATTGAAGCTTCACAAGTCTGCAACATTAGAAAGAAAAACTTGCCCTGCACTAGAGTACACCAGCAGCTGAAAAACATAAAAGACATAATCTGTGGAGAGCCGCATGATATTCGCTGTCTGACT